GTCGTCGATCCTCACGGAGCCTCGCGACCCGTGTGCCGCGCGACCGAGCAAAGGAGAGAGAGAGGAGAGAGCCGCTTTCACGCGGCTAAAGCTCCCCGATGGTGTGCGTCGCAAAAGGAACGAGGCTGCTGGGTGGCGCGGGACGCGCGAGTATTTCGCACAGCCAGTCGAATGATTTAATCCCCGAATGATGGACGGGCACGTCGCGACGATGATCTGCGTGCCGTGAAGTGACAAGTGGTTAGGATCACGGGGAAACCTCGGTGGCGGATGACGGTGGCTGATGGCGCGCGATGGCCGATGCGCGCGGTGCGGTGCGGTGCGGCGGATACCGAGGGTGGTCGCGCTGGTGGTCGACGTTGGTGTCGTATCGGTGACGGGACCCGGGCTGCCGGCGGATGGATTTGAGGACGGTGGGAAGGAGGGTGCGGACGCTCGCACCGTACAAATCATGCGGGCATTACAGCGTCACGCCTGGACTCAACCTGTCGCGCGACCGGAAACTCGATGCCGACGGTAATGCTGATTTATCGGACGCGAAACGGTCGCGTGTTGCACCGGCCTACGTTTCCCGCGTCTCGCGGCTCATTTTTCTCCCCGGGACAGCATCCGGCAATCGGTTCGATCCGTCGCTATCCGCACCTATGACGCGAAAGTTGCACGAAAGACGGCGCGGTCGGAGAGCCGCGCGCTCGCTCTCCGCTTTTCGTCTCTTCTTTCTCTCTTACGTGCGCTCGTATACTCGTCTGAATATTCTCCTACCTTTCGAGATGTTTGACGATATCTTCGTAGGCGGCTCGGCAGTTTTCCCAAACCGTCCCGGACCTGTGGATCACAAAGAAAAGCGACACTTGAGATACGCCGGTGGAAACGCGCGTCACCGAGATTCCTTATTGGTAGTCGGGGGGAAGCGGGCGTAGGGGGTGCGGGTTGATAAGCGAATCGGTTAATTATAAGCCTGCCACGGGATATCCTTGCGAGGAAAGTGGATCCGCGGAGTTGATTAAGAGTCCTTCTCGTGCCGTCTCGTCTTTCGTTTGTCCTTTGATTCGATCGTGCCTGTCCCGTGCTCGAAACGAAGACGCTTTGAAGTCGCTGATTAAAAAAGACGTCGTCGGCCCTCCCGTGCTTCGCGGCTAATTTACTCGGCGTACGTCGACCTGCCGGAAAACGTGCTCGCCCGTGGCACAGGCGAAAGAAGAGAAGAAGAGAAGAAGAGAAGAAGAAGAAGAAGAGGAGGAGGAAGAGAGGGTATCGGGATCGAAGGATTCGGAGGACGACGACGACGACGGTGGCCATTGGACGTCTGGGACGGAAGTAGCCGACCGCGGAAGGCAAACCGGTGGAGCATGGGTCGCCGCGGCTCTCGCGAGGGCTCGGGTCTGAATTAGAGGGTGGCGATAGAGGGCAACGACGCGCTGACGGCGCGGTACGCCAGGATGGGGTTGCGTTGAATTAATCATATTCCGGTGTTTGTCGTGCCGCCCCCAGACGTAATCCGTCTTACCTCCCGATCTCTCTCGCTCCTCTGCCACGATAGATTTGCATTTTAATTAAAAGCAAAGCGCTGAAATCATAATGCGAAACGTGCGGCGCCGCCTTCGTCGCGTCATTATACGCGTAGGCGCGTAGCAGCCTCGGAAGGACACGCTTTGCTCTCCAACCGAGCACTGGCCCTGGTGTCCCTTCTGGCCAGGCACTCGCTTTCCTCCGCTGGCCCCCCGTCACATCGGATATCGACGCGAATCCACGCGAATCCGCGCGAGAGAATTGAAAGGACGAACGCGAGACGCGGAAGCTGGCTGCGAGATCGACTAACGGGCGAATAGGACGAGGCTAATTACTGCTGGCGGATGTAATCGAAAATTAAGGCGAGTCTCCGTATCCTGGAAAGCCCCCGTGGCTGGGACGGAGTTTCGCGAAGGACGGAGAGAACGGGGCGTACCCACCGACGGCATCTATTAGAAACGCGTTAACAAATGCCGGGATTAGCTCGGAGACTAACCTCCCTCTGCGAGTGGGATCTTCCTTCGATAGACCGCGTCCCGGTGCGCCTTCGTTTCTCCCTATCCGTGGCACCCGCGCCAACGACTAAACGGGTTCGCGTAATCCGCGATATACGTCTCGACACCGCAACGCCTCGAGGATTTACCGGTTCCCTCTCCCTGCTCGTGGTAACCGGGCGACCTCGTGGCCTCGTGCAACGGAATCGTGACGAATCGACCACGATCACCACGACGACGACGACGGCGACGACGACGACGAGGACGATGACGAACGAGTTGACGGCGGGGTACCGTATGGAACGAGGTGAGAATTTCGGTCGGAACGTGGTCGGTAATAATCGATGGGTGTACATATATAGGGGGCGAGTGGGAGCACGCGGAAGAAGAGGAAGGGTGGTGACTCGGTTGAGGTCGCGAGCGTAACGCGAGCCGAGTAAACGACCTAGAAGGAACGCGACGCAGCCGAGGAAACGGACTCCGTGGAACGGAGTTGGCCAGCGAAAGACACGGTGGAGAGGCGAGAGAGGGAAGGAAAGATCAAGCAGTGTCGAGACCCCTCGGATTTCCACGGCTTCGCCGTCTCTTCAAATCCTCTTAAAGTTGTATTCTTTTGGCCTCGCCGGCCCTTCGTTACGACTACTACACACCGGGACAAGACGGGCTCTCTCCGGTCGCAACGAACGCCGGTCGAAAAGCCCCGAAAACTGGCCCAGGATCATCGTGGGTCACGTTCCTTTTCGAGCTTACCTCGCGAGCGCTTCCATGTTCGACATGTTCGGGTTCACCTTCAGACCCTGTTCGGCCCGCGCCTGGGCCTGAGCCTGCAGGTGATGCGGCAGACTAGCCGGCGATAGGATGGCGGTGTGTCCTGCACCTGGATGTCCACCCAGTTGCATGAACTGCATGTGACTGAGATGCGTGGGCGGGTGATTGTATCCGTTCGCCAGCAGCGGCGACTTCTCCATCCTCGGCACGTCTGAAAGCAGAACGGGGCAAACCGAGTCGTTAGCCAGACGGTAGATCCTACGGGGACAGGGGGTTGCGGCGTGTCCGTCGATATCCCCGCAAATACCGCGTGTATATTTGCCGGAGGATTCGCCGGACAGGATTCCGCCGCGTTTCCAGCTTTCCAAACGGACCGTGTATCTTCGTCAACCGGGCAACACGCGTCACGGTCTCGGTTTAGGGGACGACTCCGCGCGACGACGTAGACCGGTGTGTGTACCCTGTTAGAGGGAGAGCCGATCGATTCACGGGCCGCGAGACAACGGCAAACTTTGTACGAACGTTCGAGACGACCACAAGGCCCAACGACCACCACGATTATCGACGAGAGAGCTGGCGGCCCGTCTGTGTACCATTTTGGGATTCCGCTCGTGCAAAGATGACGTCGAAGATGATGCTATTGCGAGAGACCGGCGATCCGGGTGGATCGGCGGAGAAGAGTTCGAGCGGGACAGGGAGGGGGGAGGGGCAGAAAGAGGGCAACAACAGGGGTAGACGGTGGGACGGAGAGCAAAGGCGAGATGGAGAGAGAGGGCTCGAGAGAGTGTCGGGCAGGCAGAAAGGGGAGAAGGAGGAGGTGGCTGGATGGAAGGGGTAGAAAATGAGCGGTGCCTATTCATTACAAATTATCTAAATGGCAGTGATTTCGGCGGACCGGCTGGCCGTTTGACGAGTAAGTGGCGGGTTCGCTAGACAGTGACTGTCGATGCCGCGAACGGTCGGCCGGTTCGCGAGTGGCAACGAAACCACGCCACGGATCGTTTGACAACCACTGTGGGACCCGGCCCATGACCGGCCCTAAAATTGGACTTATTACAACTTATAGAGCGCGATTTGAACGCTCCGCTCAATAACATACATTATCCCCAATCCATATGATTTAATGAAATCCCTCTAAACTCTCCACTTAGCCTCGGTACCTTCTCGCGCAGTACCCTTCTTTTTTTTCCGCCCCCCCTCCTTCCTCCGTGTGTACGCGCTCTTTCGTAGATTGCTACGTGTGTACCGTAACAGAGAGAAACCGTGCCGAGCGACGCGGCGTTTACGGCGCGGAGGAGAGACAGAGAGAGAGAGAGAGAGAGAGAGAGACGGCGAGGAGCAGGAGGAGAGGTAGCCGCGCGGATGCGAGAGCGAGCGGGCGAAGAAGCGAGAAAACGATCGACGAGCGAACGGGCGGAGAGAGAGAAAAAGGGCACGAGGGGGGAGGGAGGGGGGTCAGGGCGGGGGAGGCGGTGGGGCAAAAGGGTCGTGAACGAGAAGGGAACGAGAGTCGGAGGGAGCGAGAGCGGCGTGGCACGTTCCGATCACCGAGGATACTTAAAACGCGCGTTCCCCGATTTTATAACCCCGACAACGGCTATTTGCCGGTCGCGGTACGCTCGGCGTCCTAACGCCGCGACCGATGAAGACGTTTCGAACGAGACCTCGCGCCGAAACCCGCCGCGCGACGATCCCGAGGGTGTCGAAACTCCGATCCCACCCGATTCGAGTTTGTCACCCGGACCATCCTCGCGAGGGATTCCCGACTGACCAACGCGAGAGCAACGAAATTGAGAGAGAGAGAGAGAGAGAGAGAGAGTGGGTCGTCGCGACGACCTGGCCAGAGCGAAACGCGAGGGACGATAAAACACAATTTGAGCTAAAGACCGCGCTCCTATAACTTCCCACCCCTGGGCCCGCGCGCGGACGTATACCGCCACCTCTTTGCCCCTCTCGTGGCTGATGAGGTGACAACCCATAATTATACAGACCGCTTTCTGTCTGGCCTGACTGCAGTGGCATGCGGAGGAGAGGCCTCCATCATCCTCCTCCTCCTCCTCCTCCTCCTCCTGCACCTTCTTCTCTCCCTCTTCGTTCTCGACTACTCTTCTCTCCCTCGTCCTTCCTCCTCGGCCCTTCTCACCGCGCGCATTCTCTCCCGCTTGTCCTTCCACCGCTTTGTCTTTCTTTCTTTCTCTCTTTCTCCGACTTTGCATCCTCTCCGCCACCTCCGTCCTATCTGCGGATCTCGCTTTTTCTCTCGTTACCCTTTATCCTCCCTCTCCGTGCGCGTCCACCTCCCGCTCGCTCCTTTCATCCACGCACGGTTTCTCATCCACCGCGCGGCCGATCCGCCGAGCGGACTACTCTCCGGACTTTGACTTGCCCGTGCCGCTTAATAACGATACGCGTGTTTTCTTTGCACGTGTAACGCTCGACACGCGGTGGTGTGGAGGCGGAGAAGCGAAATCAGCAGTCGGACTCTCTCTCGGCGGGCCAGGGAAAGGCGAAGGCGGTGCAAGAGGAAGAGAGAGAGAGAGAGAGAGAAGAGTGGCCGACGAGTAGTCACCTCCACCCTCGTGCCGCGCGTCTCGTGTGCCCGTAGGAGAAGGACGACTGCGCTACTTCTTTTCTGGTGTTAATTACAAAACGCGAGAATAAATTGCCGAGCTAAACGAGTGCCCGGTATCCCTCTCCTCGCTCCGCGACCTCGTCACGTCTGTTCCTTCTCGCAGCGCGGCCCTCCGCGACGGACAGATGAATGGAAGGCGAGCCGTCTGCACAGGTGGAATTTGTTATGCGTCGCGATCACGGTCAGACTTTCCTCCCGGTCGCGCTCTATCGTCTCGATCTCTCCGGGCGCAGGCTCGACGAAAATTCACCGCTGCTTTTTCGACCTCGGCCAAGCCGCAGGCATGGAAATCGTTCCTTCCTTCGTTCGACGTCACCGATGCGCGATCAACGATATTCCCGGTTATTCCAGCTTTGCCCGCTTTCCGCTACTGCAGCCACCGTTCCGATGGCCGCGACCACGAAGAAACGTCCGAGTTGCCCCTGCTCGAGTGACCGTACCGTGGCATCGGGAAATTATTCGGAAAATTTCCCCTTTGTCCGTGGATCGCTGCGTACCCGACGACGTTCCCGCCATTGTTCTTACCAAACGGCGAAGAAATCGACCGACTCCCCTTCCTACCTACTACCCTCCTCTGCCGATGCGCTCGACCACGGTCTCCGGTAACGCGCGTTATTTGCGCTTAGGTATGTATATGTTTACCCTCGACACCGACTCCCTCAAAACCCTTGGATTTAACCCTCGAACACCGACCCTCCGGCTACGGCCGATGACATCGTGGCCCTTTAAGTACCTTCCGCGCCACCCCTTCCTTGCCTCTTCCTCGTTCGCTTCTTCTTGCCCCGCCGTTCGCCTTTTCTTGCCGCGGGACCGCGTCCAGTCCGTTGGATCCGCGATTCCCGATCCCGATCGGGAGCAGCGGCTGGGATCTCGCGGACGCGCGAGAAACGCGCGCCGTTAGCCTGCCCCGTGCACGTGCATCCCATCCAACATTGTTGCCCGACGTGTATTGGTACATAAACACGAGACGGGAAACACAGTTTCGCGCAGGAGGAATCCGGTTTTTCAAGTAATCGAGAGACTCGGAGCCGGGCTAGCAGGCAAGCGGGCAGGCAAGCAGCCAGCCAGCCAGGCGAACAGGCGAGCAGGCGAACAGGCAGGCAGGCAGGCAGGCAGACAGGCAGGCGGGCAGCCATCGAGGTAGCTCCCTGCGTCCAGTCTGGAAACAACCGAGGAGAGAGTGGATGCCATCGCTATGTATACCTCCTCGTCGCTCCTCCTTCCTTCCTTCCTTCCCTGCTCTTCTTTCCTCGCTTTCCTCTTTCACCACACCCATTCTTCTTAATCGCTCGCCCGTATTGAGACGTAGCTCGCTGTCTCGCGCGCGAGTCCGTCTCTCGAACGCCGTTTCGAGGAACCTTCCACTCCGACGACGTCCTCGTCCTCGTGGTCTAGCGTGGATCCAGCCTCCATCGAGATCGATCCGCGCGTCCATCCGATCCATCCAACGACCATCCAGTTCGTCGCGGTCGTGACCGGAAGACCTCGGAGCATTGAGACGTAGCTCTGCGACTTACGAGCAACGGAAGAGAGAAGGAAGAAGAGATACCAGTGGATGGTTCTCGCGAAGCGTCGTAACGACGATAAGAGCCGTCTGTCCGGCTAGCTAGACGTCCAGTTTCCTCTCCGAGCCCAACCCCTCATCCCCCAACCCCGACTTGTCCCCCGGTTCACGGGCCTTCTTCGTCGACTGGCTGCCTACCACGCGTCTCCTCGCGAAAGAGCAGTCCAGTATTTGTTCTTCCAGGGTCTCCTCGGATACGAGCATCATCCGAGGGCAGTAAACCTTTTGATATATAGTCGAAGGTTTTTAGAGTTCTGTCAGCCACGCCCACAATCAGCCTTAGTATTATTTACACTCCTCGTGGTTTGTAGTCGGTTGTCTCGCATCTTCGTCCCCGTTGCTCCTCCGCCACGCCGCCTCCCGCCTTTTTACTCCTCTCGCGCGCTCTTCTTGCTCGTCGTCGTCGTCGTCGTCGTCGTCGTACTCTGAGCTCGGTTTTCCTCGTAATCCACGCGCTCGTCGGCGAATTTCGCAGATTCGTGGAGAAAAACGACGGCTCGGTCCGAGCTCCCCGCGGCCGCACGGCCGCCGGTCCAGGGCACCGCGAATTTATAAAATTAGATACGATCGCGCGCGGGTTGCGTCCCTCGCGAAATTATCTATTCCGGAGCTGGCAGGCGTATACGCGCGATCGCATAGCCGCCGGCGCGGATTTTGGATTTCGCCGCGCGTCCACCGCTCCGGCACGCAACTCGCCGCCCTCCGCGCCCCGTCCAAGATACAGGGACGCATATTTTATTTCCGAAATGATGATGATACGCACGAAACCTTCCCCCGCCCCACACGGCATCCTTTGGTTTTATCGCGCCGATTCGCCGCCGGTAGACTCTCCTTTCTCAGGCCTTTTTGGCAGGCCCTTTCGATCCCGGTCACGAACAGTGGCGCCGAGGAGCCTTCCTCCCTCGTCGCGGCTCTCCGGAAACTTTGCGACTTTGTTGCGAAACGCCTTCCTTACGTAAGCTTCTTCTCTCCGTTCCACTCCCTCTCTGTCTTTTCGTCTCCCGGTCGAACGGTC